TTTCCCAATAATATTCTTTCCAACATCATTACGAAGTTATAAAGTTTCCAAATTTTATTTCTAGCAAGATTTAAATAATAATCAACCCAAAATAAAATCTAAATTTTTGTCCAATATCAAAACTCCGCCTATATAGTATAGCCGGTCCCAAAGGCAGATAATCGAGGTGGGTTGTGTTAGGCTCTCAATAACAGCCAACGTAAAAATCTGTCGAATCTTGTAAACATGAATCAAAACATTATGTAGAAACACGTCCATAAAAGCCTCTTTCTTTTCAAACGTTTTATCAAACGCCCATTGTGCAGTCAATCTGACAAACTTCAAGAATATTTCTCTTAAAATCACAGCCCCAGACTTCATACATTCAAACTATAAATCCAATTCCATATAATCACCAAACCTTGCAACAGAAACCAAGCACCAATTGGAAGAAAACCACAATTTCCCAATCCACATACACGACGGAACCGGGGGGGGGGGGGACGCAACAGTCCGCACCAAACATATATGGCAGCATTCTTGGGGGAAAAAACACAGAGATTTGAACATACCCCGAAGAAAGGAACACGGCAGCGTCGAGAAACAGGAAGAAGAAGAGAAGCTCGAGATCCCACACAACGGTCCGCAACAGCGGCGAAACAGAAATCAGCAACGAGGAAGAAGGAAAGGAGAAGATTAGGTGCGATCACTCCCTCAACAATGGCAGAAGAGCAGTGAGGAATGAAGGGCTCTGCTTTTCGAATTCCCCGTTTTGCAGATGAAGCTCTAAAGCTCCGCGGTCGAGACTCGACACTGTCAGGACTCAGTGCTATGCACCAACAAAGGATGCGTGACGGCGAAGGTCGGCTTCACCAGACACCCGGCTCAAAAATACGCCTTTCCTTTTAACCAAAAAAAAAAAATTCTCATCTATAAAAAAATTTAATCCTTAAATATGATATTTATTTTATTTTGTTTTCTTTAATTTACTCTTTAGTCCTAAAAACCATTCTTTTTTTTTTCCATTAAAAGCATTATATTTTTTAAAGGTATTGTTAGAACTTCAACTAAATTAGATTTAATAACTTACTTAAATCACGTTGATTTGAGTTTCTAAGTCTAAAATTTAAATATGACAATTTTAACTATTTTGGATATTTAGTATTATTAAGAAATGTTTAATTTTAATTTACTTGTTATTTTTTTATCATTAATTATTGATTTTCATTTAATTTTATAATTTTAGAATAATCTATTATTGATTTCTATTTATTTTTAGGGTTAGATTTAAACTTACAAATAATATATAAACATATATGCTTTCTCCATTTTATAATTTGATTAAATAGTAGACTGCATAAAACAACCTTTTTTTTATAAAATTTCTAGAAATATAAAATAATAATAAAATCCTAAAACAAATCCTAATAATAATTAAAGAGATAATTACAAAATATTAAAAGATAATTAATGTAATAAATCCTAATTTTAATATATAAATGTTCTTATTCAGATCCCTAATGGATATAATTATTAATCTAATTAAATCCTAATTATTTCTTTTCCCATACTCTGTCAGTCCTACTTACAACAATCACTCCATCCATGGTTCAAAGCATAACTTCTACAAAAATACATGTGTGAGAATCATTATTTGACCAAGAGTGAAAATGTAATAACAAGAGAAGAACCATGCTCAACAAAAAAAATGCGTATGTTATAATATTCAGCCACTGAATAAATTTAAAAACATAAAAAAAATTTTACAATTCTTAATATAAAACCTAGTTGACTAATTTGAAAATTAAAAAATTATTTAATTAATCTTTCTAAAAGACTTATGTAGATTATTAAATTATATATCAATTTACAAATAAGATAAATTAGTTTTAAAAAAATATTATACATAAATAATTTAAAGTATTTTAGTAACTTCTTTACTTTTTTTCAAATTAGCTAACTTGATCATGGAAGGAGAGATGGTATAAAAGATTTAATTTGGACACCGTCAAGTAGCTATTCCAACTGTTCGCATTGCTTGGAGGGGGCTAGACTCGTCCATTATCAAACTCGTCGTCTGGATTCGTCGATGACCTTATCATCACTGTTCTCGCCATCTATCAACATCTTCTTTACACACTACACGCCTTTGAAATTTTGAATTCTCCCGCATGAAAAAAAACCATTTGAAGTGGTCGTACCACAAGCAATGAGGAGGAAAAACAAATGCAGATGATACATAGTTGATGACGACATCTCGACTGCATATAAGTGCCACAGAAACGGTAAGAATCTGGATATTCATTTCAAGAGCACCATAACGTTTCGCACAACCATCCAAATTATTTTCTAGCACTAAGCAAACGGCTATGCCCCACCATTCACTACTTGAGCTGCAAGAATCAGGCTTGTTTGCTATGAATGACACATTTCTTGGCTCAAAATAGAAAACTGAGGAATCTTCCGCACAAAAATAGCTTTGATTGTAAAACCATGATGGCACTTCGCTACCAGAAACAGTTAAATATGCGAGTAGGTTGCATGAAGAAATGATCCTGTGATGAAAAATTATTCATGTTAGACGTATAATAATGGGATAAGGTGCTTAAATATGCGAAGGTAATATATTAATATCAATCACTCCAATTTTTTTTTTCCATGAAATTATCCCAAGTTATGATATTCCGAAATAGTCCTTGGGAAAACTAGAGGCAGCGGGGAGCCAGGGCCAAACGTGTGAAGCAAGGCAGCAACAATTTTCCTTCTCTTTGTTTCTTATTTTGATGACTATTATATTTCTTTTATCCATGGGCCATGGCTTCTCTCTCTCACTCTACTCTTCTTCTACTCTCTTCTCTCAGCACATCTTCCTCTCCTCCATCCACTGTTCCTGTTCTTCCACATCCTCCCAGTCTCTTCGTTCCAAATTCCGATTGTCCTCACTGCCTCCATTCCTCTCTAAGAGCAGACCCAAGAAGAAAGCAACGCGCCCTGAAGGGTTTCTGACGATCATCAATCCCATTTTGCTGTTCAACGGTGTGAGTAGTTCCACTTTTAATTTCGATGCCCAGACCCTTCTCGCCACTGTTAGTGTTCTCTCTGCAATTGCTCTCTCCTTGTTTCTTGGTATTAAGGTAACAACTTTTGTGTTTCCTTCCTGTTTCTTCCATTTTGGTTTCTATCACTCGGGTGCTCAGTTCTGTCTCATTCTTACGGAGTTTCAAATTGAAACTGAATCAGATTTTGGGTTGTGTAATGAAGTTATACAGAAGATTCTCTTACGGCCCATTTACTTTGAGCTCATGTCTGGTGTTGCAAAATGGGATTTTACACTTCTTCTGGAACTACAAAATGGGATTTTCCCCCCTCTTTCATTATCTCGTTTAGAAAATTTGCTTAAGCGACATGCATTGCACCCATTGATGCATTCAATCTTGCTTCCGTTTTTTATACTGCGTCTGGTAACATTGTGGGTCAACGTTGATTCTTCTTCTGCTAATGTGATGAGGTTTTTACAGGGGGATCCTGTGCCTTGTGAGCGTTGTGGCAGCAGGGGTAATGATCTTTCTATATCTCGACTTCAGATTGTTGGGCATTTTCTGCTTTCAAATGTTGTGCAAATTTTACAACATTCTGCGCCAAACATATATGGCAGAATTCTGAGAGAGAAAAAAACACAGGAAGGAAAAGAGATCTGAACATCCCCAGAAGAAAGGAACACGGCAGCGTCGCGAATCAAAAGGGCATATAGGTAATTTTATAATATTTTCAAAATGCCAATTCATGCCTCATTTCATTCTGTGTCATTTTTAAGCCTTAGCCGTTTGAATTGGAATTTTATATATTCATTTTTTTTTTACGGATTTTCCCGTGTACTAGATGATAACCTGAAAATTTAACTTTTAAATATGACCTATTTCATTTTATTTAATTTACTCTTCAGTCCTATGGGTACGAATGATTTTATTTTTTCATGGTATTGTTAGAACTCTGTTAAATTAGGTTTAGTAACCCACTTAAATCAAGTTTATTCTTGAGTTTCTAACCCAAAATTCAAATATGACAATTTTAACTATTTCAGAGATGTTTAGCATATTAAGGAATATTTAATTTTAATTTTAATTTAATTGTTATCTTTTATTATTAATTGTTGTTTGCATATAATTTTAAAATTTAAAATATTCTGTTATTAATTTTTAGGATTAGATTGAAACCTATAAACAATATCTGAACACCTATGGTTTGTTCGTCTTATAATTTGATTAAATAGTAGACTGGCATAACTTCTCGTATCTTTTTTTTCTGCCAACTTTAAAGCACAACTTACAATACATGCATGAGAATTATAATTTGACAAGAGTGAAAACAATGCACAACAAAAAGGAAGGTGCATATGTCATTTTCAGCCACTAAATAAATGTAATAACATGAAAAATATAAATATGTACAAAAGATTTAATTTGTAGCAAGCGCATGCCTCCATTTTGTTTGAGCTCACTGTCAAGTGGTTGTTCCAACTTTTCTCATTGCTTGGAAGGGGCTGGGCTCTCCATCATCGAACTCATCATCTACATTCATCAATGAACTTATCATCAGTAGTGCTGACACTACAGCCTTCGTCACTGCTTGTGTTTCGCCATCTCTCAACATCTTCTTTACACAACACACGCCACCCACACTGCACTATTTTCAAAGATGACTCCTCTGGTTCATCGCTATGAAAAAAACCATTTGAAGTGGTTTTTCCACAACAAATGAGGAAAAACGAATGTAAATGATACATAGTTGGTGGCAAAATCTGGACTGCGCACAAGTGGCATAACCACGGAATGAATTTGGATATTCACCTTCAGAAACTCTATAAGTCCAACCAAGTACGGCAAAATCATCATAGTTTGCATGTTCCAAATCATTTTCTAGCACTAGGCATACAGCTATGCCCCACCATTCACTTGAACAGCATGAATCAGGCTTATTTACTATGAATGACACATTTGTATGTTCCTCACACAAAAGCTTTGATTGTGAAACCATGATGGCACTTCACTACCAGGAATAGTTAATATGCGAGTCGGTTGCAGGAAGAAGTCATCCTGTGATGAAAATTATTCATGTTAGATGTATAATAATTAATGTGTAAGAAATAGTCAAATAAGAAAATCAAATAAATTAGAAATTCAAGAGATTCAAATAACTCACAACTTGTGAATTGTTCCAACTCACAATTCCAGACATCATGTCACTGAAAGTGTAAAATTTATATCCATCTTCTAATGAGAATTCATATCGGCATGGAGTCTATAACAAAAAATTTGGGATGTTATGGAATTATAATGACTGATGTGAAACAAATGATAGTGAAGAGAACTAAAACAAACCTGATATTCAAATTCCTCAGTGAATTCCCATAGTTGTTGTGAACACACATAATTTTTCAATAATGGACAATCACTAGCATCTATCACTGACAGGTTTGCTGGAAGTTGAGGCAAAGACCGAAGCCTTGGGCAATCATTCAAATAAATAAATTCAAGCTTTCGAAGTTTGGAAATGAAGCTCAAAGGAATTTCAACAAAATTATTTCCACCCAAACCTAATGTTGTCAATGATGATAAATTGCCTATTTCACTGAATAGTGATTCATCATCAAGATTGCAATAATTTAAATGTAACTGGACCAAAGATGATAGATTTGAAAAATATGGAGACCACAAAAACTTAGTTGAACTTGAAGGCCTTTGAAGCCTAAATGCCCGCTTGAGAAGAGAGTAGTGATTCCATGAGGATGATTGTGCAGAAGCATTGCATGCACTAAGACATAATACTTTCAAATTATTGAGGGACGAAGGCACTTCTTTTAGAGCAGTTCCAGCCACATCAAGCTCCTCCAATGCCTCATTTTCATTCAAATTCTCTGGAAGCCTTGACAACTTTGAGCAACCACGAACATTGATCTTCTTTATAGCTTTCAATTTTTTAAAATCACTTGGAAGACATACCAGGTTTTTGCAATACTCTAAATTTAATATAGCAAGACCAGTCAAATTGACCAATGATTGAGGTAGTTTGGATATAGCAGTCCCTTTTAGATTAAGCTCTGATAAACATGTCATACCTTTACCAAACTCAGGAAGCCTTTTAACTTTTGAACAACCAGAGAGAATAAATGTCTCTAAGCAATTCATCTCCAATTTGGTTGGAAGGTTTTTAATACTTTTGCAACCTTTAAAATTAACAATGACAAGATTCTTGTGTTGCCCGAGAGAGTAGTGAACTTCAACAAGCTTTGTACACCCTTCAAGAATTAATCTTTGAAGATTAGGAGTTCTATCAAAATTTGATGTTCTCATCAGGTTTGTTGAATGACTCAAATCAATGAACTTTAGACTTTGTGGAAACTGCAAAGAACCAAAAAAAAAAAAAGCCTTCAAAAACCAAGAACTAGCAAGTGATACGCATGCAATAAATTATAGACAAACAAATTTAAGCAAAGGACATTAATTACCTGATCTCCTCTCCAAAGTTCCTTTAATTTGCTGTGTTGCATTTTGAGATCAACAAGTTCATCAAATTGAGTTTGACCTGGAAGGGAATCTAAAGGATACTCCTTCCAATCTATGACTTTCAGTGAATTGGGAAGACAGTTAAGTCCATGAAGAAGATTCAATTGGTCATGTGAAGAATGTGATATGATAAGTAACTTGAGATTACTCATATTTGAGAAGGCTTTAGGTTCCAAATATATGACATCTGGTTTGTCAAATTGTACCACTATACCACGTATTGCTTCAGTTCCCTATATATAAAACAATAAGTCAATCAAACTAATAATAACATGAAAAATGCATGGAATATATTGCTGAAGTAAGAATGCATAATCATAGAAAAGGGGGAGAGTGTTACCCTCATATTTCTAAGCACAAGACTAGCATCCTCCAAGGACCATATCCTACTACGATTGCCAGCATCATTGGGTGATTCGCGAAAAACAATTTCCTTGCCCATTTCTTGAAGCCTATCATGCACCCTCAAGCACCCTTCAGCTTCAGTTACCAATGATTTCTGAATAAGAGTTCTTAGTCCGATTACCGGGTCAAGACCACTATTTTCTAAAATCTGTATGACATCATCCTTGCGCAAGCCATTGAAAAAGCAAGCAATATCTAAGAATATATTCTTCTCATTAGATCGCAGTCCATCAAAGCTCACTTTAAGTATATCAAAAAGGCCATCTAAAGGAATCTTCTTGAGTGCATTCTCCCATTCTGGTATGCTTCTTCCACAAAGAAATGAACCAAGCACTTTGATTGCCAAAGGAAGGTTTTGAGCAGAATTAATCGCCCTTCTAGAAAGCTCCAAATAATCTTCATTTGGCTGATCTCCTTTGAAAGCTATTTGAATAAAAAGTTGAAGGGATTCATCGTGACTTAAGAAATTCATTTCATACTGAGAAACTACACCATGCAACAATAACACATGTTGATCTCTAGTTGTTATTATTATTCTACTCCCTTTGCCAAACCATCCTTCCTTTCCCGCCAAATTCTCAAGTTGGCTTATGTCACTCACATCATCAAGGACAAGTAGAACTTTTTTACTGCATAACATTCTTCTTATCAGCTTTCTTCCTTCATAACAGTCACACACTTCCATTCTGATTGATTTTTTCAAACGGGAAAGAAGTTTTTGTTGCAGTGAAATTAAACCACCATCTTTTACAGATTCCTCTCTAACATTATGAAGAAATAAATGAACTTCATAGTTTCTGTGTATCCTCTCATAAACAATTCTAGCAAGAGTAGTTTTGCCTAACCCTCCCATTCCCCATATTCCTACAAATTGAACTTCCTCCGATTTATTCGCTAGAAATGAATCAAAATCTGCTATTTTCTCATCAATTCCAACAAGTCCATCATCAACACCTTCATCATTTGAATCGAATTGTGGGTGATCAACTATTCTTGACCTCACATTTTCAGTAACTATTTCAATGAGTTTCGTTTCATACCTAAAAAGATAACAGAATAATAACATTAATATTAAGCGTAGCCCAAAGTCATGATAATTTTTTGAAGTCATAGAAAATACCAATTTTTAGAGCTCCATCCAGCCAAGTCAGCAACTTCTCTCAAGGCATCCCTCCATCTTTGCACCTTCACTTTGTCATGTGCAAATTTCTGTTCAAGCTTTTCAAAGGCTGTTGCAAAACTTCCTTTCTGATGCCGAACATCAGACGGATCTATGCCATAAAAGATTGGAAATATATGAAGGCCTAACTCTTTCTTACAATGAAGGATTTTTAGGAGTTCATCTAAGCACCATGTGGATGCAGCATAGTTTTCAGAGAGAACAATAATTGCTGACAAAGATTCTTCAATTGCTTGAAGCAAACTTGGTTTGATAATTTCTCCCCTCCCAAGTTCTTCCTCATCTCTAAAGGTTATCAGTCCATTGTGACACAAAGCAGCATATAAGTGGTCTGCAAAATTCTTACGGGTGTCTTCTCCTCGAAAACTTAAAAACACATCATACTTGTGTCTTCTATTTGAACGGCAATAGCTTGAAGAATATCCAACTTCTTGATCATCGAGTGCCATTGTGATACTTCAGAAGCTGGACCATTCAAAATATAAATACAACCATCAGACTGTGAACCGACTTTAAACCCAATCTGAGATAGAACATAGGTTCTTGCACAGATTAAGAGAAAGTATAATCCCAAAATGCATTCTCAACTATATAAATGCATTTTTATTATTAAATAAGGCAGAAATTGAGAAGAATATTAGATTAAATTATAAGTACTTTATACCTATTTAATTTTGATTATTTTGTTTTTCTTGATTGATTTTATGAATATAAGAATGAAATTATCAGCTCAAGTTTCTCATTTGACCGTTTTAGCCGTGTTCCTCTGGGCAAAGCTGCTTTTAATTAGTTTACTTGAAAAACAGAAAAGCATGGTTGTCTTATGTGATTCTTCATCAGAAAATTTCAGTCAGCCCCCTCTAAGCAAACTTATTTTTCAACAGCCTCCAAAGATTTTGAAATTTCCACCCTTTTGACCAAAATGAAATTAAATCTTATGGGTGAAAAGACCATTATGCCCTTGTATTATCTTTTTTTTTCAGAAAGGTTAAACTAAAGTGATTACAACACAAATTAGGCAATTTACAAGATATATACAGGAACTCAACTCTATTGAGGTTCTATGAAGAGAAAAGTTAAATGTCAAGAATTCCATAAACAACTAAAATAAGGCAATTTACAACACAAAGTAGGCGATTTATGAGAGGTACACAAGAATTCACAACTGTAATTGAGGTTCTGTAAAGATCAAGAAAGTTAAATTTCAAGGGTTGCATGAATAACTAAAATAAGACAATTTACAATACAAATTAGACAATTTATGTGAGGTATATGAAAATTCTTAACAACATACAAGATAACTAACAACAAAAATTAGACAAAAATAGGTTCTTGTGAATGGCCTAATTGATTTGTAGTTAATTAAAGAAGTAATTGTGAACCCCTTAATGCTCTAACGACCGAAGCAATTTTATTTCTTTTATTGCTTGCTATTTATAATTTTATATACGTATTTCTTTTCCTAATAAATTTCAATTGTGTTGGGTTGGAATTAATTGGATTGACGAACCTCAACTTAAGCTTGACAACTAAAATACTAAGGGTAAATTTTATTAATATGATTGGCTCTGTACTCCCCTTAATTATCATCTATCCAAGCTTAATTAAAGAGTGGGGTAACACCAATTTTCATTGCAAATCACCTTGTTTTATTTGTTCATGCAATCCTTAACACTTCATTTTTCTTTCCAGAGAACCTCAAACGGAGTTGTGAATTCTCATATGCCTCTTGTAAATCACCTAATTTGTAACAGATTATTTTATTTCAGTTGTTCATGCAATCCTTACATTTAACTTTTCTCTCCACTAAACCACAAATGGAGTTATAAATTTCCTTGTACTTCGTGTAAATTTTCTAATTTGTGTTGTAAATTGTCTTATTTTAGTTGTTCATTCATAGTTAAACACTTGTATTTTTTTCATTATATATATTTCTCTTACATTATATGACTAAATGGATTGATGGCTTGGTTGTCATAATCTTTTTCATATACCAAAGGATCATGGGTTTAAATTTCCCCTTGGCCAATTATTTCAAAAATAAAATTCTCTAGCAACTGGAGCTCTGATGACTAGCCACTAGCACTTCAATGGCCAGCTGTCAGAGATCAAAGCTCTATCTGTTGATTGGCCATTAACGCTCTAATGACCGATTGTTGAAGGTTACAGTCGTTGATCCTTTTTTTTAAAAGACTAACAACAACAACAACAACAACAACAATAATGATGCAACAGCATAATGGTCTTTTCACCCATACATTTAATTTCACTTTGGTCAAAAAGAGTGGAATGAAGCTTCATAATCTTCTTTGGCCAAAAAAAAAAGTTTCATAATCTTCTAGGGGCTGTTGGAGAATAAGTTGGTTTAGAGGAAGTTGACTGAAATCTTCCCGTCTTCAAAAAGCATTGGAGTCCAAGACTGGGATAAAGTGTTTAGTCAAGACATCTTTAGTTTCTTCCTTTTCTATTAACTCGAAACATGTGGACCCTAATCATGCAAGGACTATGAAAAGAAATTAATCGTTTTAAAGTATAACAAACTTTGAGAATTGTATCAGAAGACCATCCTTTGGCCAAAAAAAAAAATAATGAAAGCTAACACCATTATTAGTTAATCAGATGGTATGAAATTGGTAATTACGTACGGTTAAGAAATAATAGATAAAAACTTACATGAGGAGAAAACACCATTATTAGTTAATCAGATGGTATGAAATTGGTAATTACGTACGGTTAAGAAATAATAGATAAAAACTTACATGAGGAGAAATTTTGAAATGGTCCCTCACTAATAAAAACACATTGGTCCCGTTTGATATGAAACATTGAGAACAAGAGATAGAATTGGGATTGATACTGGGAAAATACATTAAAAGAGTGTTTAATGTGAGTAATTCTTTGCTACATATAGAATTGGCAATCCATATGGAATGAGGAAATATCACCCAGTCCCACCTATGTGGGTTTGCCAAATCTCAAGTAGCAAGCAATCCTCACATCAGATTCCTTGATTCCACCTACATGGGTTTGCCCAATCTTACGTAACAATTAATCACTCATGTTAAATAATTTTTTAATGTATTTTCTAAATCTCAATTCTATTCTTATATCTCATTCCCAATACTTTATGCCAAATGGGACCATAGTCCATTTGCACGTCGAATTTATTACTTTACTCGCATTTAAGCTTAGAATAAAAATTGAAAAAACTATCAACAACTACCAAGACTTTTCCTTGTGGTATGATATGGGCATGACAATGCATTAAAGAAAGGAAGAAAAATTATGGTCAAGGACCAACTTTGTAAATGTTCTTGTTCTTAAAGATCCTGAATAAGGAATTTTCTAGTAGAAATATGTTGTTACTTGCAAATCAATTGGTGTCAAAACCTATTAGAAAGTATGGGAACCAAACTTGATTTTAAAAATAGCCTCTTTCTCCCTGTTTGATAGTGTCAATTTTCGTGGATATGGATTATTTTGTGAAATTTTGGAAGAATATAGCATCTTCCATAAAATGGAACGCATCGTGGGAGATTCAGTGCCAGCACGGGAGTGAATTATTGGCGAAGGATTTTCGTGGTAGGATTTGGGCAAACGACTTCTTGGATAGATTCCGAAAACAATTATACAAACCAACTAGACCATTATTCAAAAATAAATATATCAAAACGAACCAAACAATTTAGATTGGCTACACACGCGACAGAGAGTACAAATATAGTTGGAAGCGGTGTGTCTCATGCTTTGAATATGGAAACCCTAATGAAAGCGAAACTAGGAGAAACAAGAATGAAGAGAAAGAAAGAAACCCAATTCAAAGTCTGAAACGAATGAAGTAAATAAAAAGAGAAAGTTACTTACTCAAGTTCTTTGGAAGGTATGCAGGGATGATTTGATGCCTGAGAAGATGGGGGAAGATGAAGTAACAATAGCAGTAGTGTCCTCTTTGATGAATTGTGACTCGCCCGACTCAGTGGGGAAGATGCTTTAAAGTGATGGAATCCTTTAAGCTTATTTAATGGATGCAGACCCCGTCAAAAAGTATATAGTATTAATTCATCCATTACCATTAAGTATTCTTCTTCTTCCTTGAAAAGCATACCGTTTTGTCTTCTTTTAAGGAAAAAAATATTTTGTGTGTAACATCAGACAAGGGGCAGCCACTTACTTCTCGTCCTCCCGAAAGGAATGTGTTTAAATTTATATGCGTGCGTCTGTGTGTATATTAATATTTTTTGGGTCCCGTTTGGGACGCAACTTACAATGGCTCCATGCGAATGCAGCATTTTCCACAAACTATTGTACCAGCAAACAAAAGCGAGGATGGCAAAGGCTATGTGAAAAAGTGACTGCTTTGCATTTCCTTGTGGCTCCACACAGTTTATTTTATATTCCTGCCATTTTTCTATTTCCTTCTCTTTGACCCAACTTACATCGTAGACACCACCACTCTTTCCTCCTTCCTTCGTGGTAACCGGTAAGTATAAAAAAGAAATACGATATAAAGTAGGAAAGATTGGGGGGGTTGGAAAAACAATCCCTCGTTGAAAATTTTATTGATGAAAATGTGAGATATATCGATGCAAGATCTTGGTTGGACTTAACATATTGGGTTTTTCTTATGTTGTTATGCTTCCTATTTGTTTTTTAACGTTCTTATTTCATTTGTATGATTTTGTGTTTTGTCGTTGTGTTTTAGCAAAGGATGTTGCATTTATTGTGTCAGTTTGCGATCGACTTAGCAAATGCACGAAGTTAATTCTTTTAGAAAGGTTTTGTATTGTTATAATGCAAAAGTAAATTAGGAGTTATAAGTTTGGCTTTCATTTACATATCACAAAGTTTTTAAGAGATTAGTAAATGCATAATAAAAATTAAGAATTTTTCAACTTCTGTGTCGTGATTAATAAGTCATATAATAGTAATAACAAGTTTGACAACGCATTGACAACTTATTCTCTTGCAAATTGTGAAAGTGAGATTTTCTCAGCTTCAGTGATATAGTTAACAATTCTGGTAACACTATTCACTATATCAAGATATTTTGACTTTGAGATATTTTTGAGTGCTAACAAAGTGGGAATTTTTTTATTTCTATAATATGGTTGACAAATCATGTAACAGTAAACAAATTTCGTAATACAATTAACAACATGTTTTTACAAATATTTTCATAGAATAAGTACAAATAACATAAGGGTAATGTGATCATTTCAGCAAATATCAAAATTTCTGTTTGGTCATGTGTGACTAAAATAAAATTTTTCTTATTGAGTGAAAACTGAGTAAAAGTATAATTCTTAAGCTATCAATTGAGTAAAATCAACAAATTATTGATTTTAATCTCCCTCCAAAAGTTCCCCAGCTACAAGAAATGCTTATACCCAACTTGTGCTTGGAATGCGCGTGTTATATAGTCTTGATTTTACTAAATATAATAGCTAATTAGAAATTCGACTTAGTTCTAACTATAACGTTTTAATCAATTTTGTCTCTTTTATTTAT